CATCCATGCTCATGTGGAGATGAGATCTGAAACAACTCCCATTAACAAGAGGGGCATTTTATCTTAAAATGAGCTCCCACAATAATTCAGCAGCTCATACAGCACAAAGACCTGGCTCAGGGACACACATGAGCCTTTTGCATGAGTGTCTGTTTCTCACCCAACAAGAGGCACAGGGCCTTACTGCCTCACCTTGCTTAATGCCTGGTGAATGGCCAGTTATGAGTAATCTTTACCTTGCAGTCTCGCAGCCTGTACTGATACTGGATCAGCCATGATTCCTCTGGGCTGTACCACACTACACTGTAAACCATGAGCCGTAGACCTGACGACGTCTCTGATTGTCTGCTCTCACCTTTCTGTGGCTGGGGTACGGGGTGAGGCGGGCAGGTCAGGCTCTTGTCCTTGTACATGATGCCATCGCCGTTCTCCCTGGGCCGCTCCTCCAGCAGGTTGCTCTTGTCCCGGGATCGCTCCGAGCCGGCCAGCGTCTCCACCTTCAGCTTCTCCGGTGCGCCCTGGCCCTCGCTCTCGCTCGCCGTCGTCACAAACTCGCCTGGCCAGTACGGCTTCATCAGGTTGTCCACTGTAAGGGGGGGTAGGATGGGGGCAGAGATCAGGAGGACCCTGTGTAGCTTGTGCCCCTAGATTACGATCCCCACAAACACCACTGTGTTTAATCTGGGCTAGAGAGCTTCTCTGCCAGGCATCCTCCACCTGATGCTTCTGACACTCCTCCGGCAACTGTTTATCATCAGTCTGAAGATGAAAGTCATGCTCAAACCCTTAGTGAAAAGGAAGGAGTTAAAACGGAGCTGTACTGAGAACCCTTACCCATTCCCTTTGATCCAGCTCCACTGCAGGGGGGGTGGAATTGACTGACTGGTGTCACAGGGTGGCCTATTCTGACATTTGTACTTGTATTGTCTCCCCTTGGGCACAGTGGGGGGCGCTGACATACCTTTCAATGTGCTGTGGGAGCTGTTGTGTGTGGCAAGACTCTCCCAGCAGTGGTCGGGGGGGTACGACTCCTCATCTTCGCTGTCAGAGGAGTGCGTGGAGGCATACGAGCCACTCTGATCATCCTCCAGCGACAGGTCACTGTCAGAGTCTGAGTCGCGGTCTGTGGACAGGGTACAGGCACACAGATTGAGACCCATCGTATGTAACCGACAGCACAGCATTGACATCCCTGGACCTGTAGAGTCTCTAAGTAGAGCATTCCAGTAAGCAATTCCTCCCAGTAAAACTCCACTGCAGACATTACTCTTAGTATAGCCAGCTCAAGCTTCACAGGTTCAATGGGAATCCAAAATACAGCAATACTGGTCAAAGTTGTGTTAAAGCACTGCAGCAGACTGCAAGGTTAACTAACCCCATTATTGTTTGGAACAATCACTAGTTATCTGAAGCACATGGTCAGCTTTACAAATTAAGAAATTAGTCAATTTATTGTGGTCGCCTCGCGACTCTACTGGCCCAGGGCTGGATATCCCACTCACAGACTGTACACGTGAATAAAGAGCAGGGTTAAATGTAGCAGGAGACTCCTGAGTGTTTGATGTGGCAGTGTGTCAATGCGTGTCGTACCGTCTGCATGCTCCTTGCCGTCTTGGAAGAGTGCAGAGTTGTGGTCGTTGAGTGTAATATGAGCCTGGCTGTTGTTCAATCCAGAATCCTCCCTGCAACACACAGAGATGTACACTCATCCTTTCAGCTCTTACCTCCACCATCCTTTAAACATGGAGACCCACACTCACCCCTGCAGCCCTGACCTCCACCATCCTTCAGATACTGAGACACACACTCACCCCTGCAGCCCTGACCTTCATCCTTCAGA